CCCCACCCACTACACCAGCAGGCAGGGAGCAGCCCCTCTCCGCTTGGGCTGGCATCAGGGCAGCCCCAGGGAGGACAAGGGGAGTGGGACTCCCTCCTCCATGGCCCAGCTGCTCTGGCAGCTCAGTGTGAGGCTGGGCTGACTGGCCCCCGCTACTCGCCTGGCGAGTTCTCCCACCTTGGGGCCCTTCTCTGTGGCTGATAAGGGGCCACTCCCTAACGACCAGTCCAGATTTACTCATGAACTCCTGGTGCAGTGCCAGCCCTTGGCTCAGGCTGCTCCCTGCCCTTTCCCTGTGATGCCCATAACTACCTCCCTGCTCCTGGCTGCTGGGGACAAGCAGAGCAGTTTTGTCCCTCCCTGAGCTCCCCTGTCCCACTCTGTGGGGCACAGGTACAAATGCTGGTGTCCCCTGGCCCCAAAGGACTCGTTGGTCTTTCCTCCCACAGTGCTGAGTACCCCGACCTGAGGAAGCACAACAACTGCATGGCCAGCAACCTGACGCCAGCCATCTACGCCAGGCTCTGTGACAAGGCAACCCCAAATGGCTGGACCTTGGACCAGTGCATTCAGACTGGCGTTGACAACCCTGGCCACCCCTTCATCAAGACTGTGGGCATGGTAGCTGGTGATGAGGAGACCTACGAGGTGGGTGGCAGCCAGCACCCTACCTGCAGCAGCCAGAGGAGTGCCAATATCCATGGTACATCCTGCAGTCTGGGACATTGCTTTCCACCTCCTCCTGCCCAGCCTAAGCAGCTGGAGAGGCCCCTGCCCAGTTACTGCATGTCCCTGCAGGACACAAGGCTTTTTCGGAGCAGCTGTTCCTGAAGCCCTGCAGCCACTTGCCCCATGAATTGCTATGCACTGCAGGATGCATTGTCCCCTGAGCTGCCCTCTGTGGCCTCCCTGCTGCTGTGTCCCCCACACTGGCAGTGTGACTGTGCCAAGCTCATGGCAGGGCCTTCATGGGGTGCTGTGTCTGCAGTGCTGTACATTGTCCCACTTTCTTCCAGGTGTTTGCCGACCTGTTTGACCCTGTGATTCAGGAGCGGCACAACGGATACAACCCCCGCACAATGAAGCACGTCACAGACCTGGATGCCAGCAAGGTGTGCAAGCTTGACAGTGGTGCTGGGCCTGGGGGCAGGGCCCCTGCCAACACCAGTGCTGCCCCATCAACACCCCATGGCTCCTGTCTGTTCCAGATAAAGTTTGGTCACTTTGATGAGCGCTACGTCCTCTCCTCCCGGGTCCGGACTGGGCGCAGCATCCGCGGGCTGAGCCTGCCACCAGCCTGCACCCGTGCTGAGCGGCGAGAGGTGGAGAAGGTGACCGTGGAGGCACTGAACGGCCTCACCGGGGACCTGGCAGGCCGGTACTACCGCCTCAGTGAGATGACAGAGAGGGAGCAGCAGCAGCTCATTGACGTGAGTCGGTGCAGCTCCCAGCCAGCCCCTGCATGCAGGGCAAGGACCCTTCCCCAGTATTGCTTCCCCAGTAGGTTGTGTCCTTTCGCAGCCCCACTGTCCTGTGGGACCAGGACACCTGCCTTAGTGAGGCAGTGCCCAAGCAGGGGTGCTCAGCCCTCCCAAGCCAGGAGCTCTCAACACAGCCCCAGCAGCTCACGAACACCTATGGCTCTCATCCCATGTCCCTGCCCGTGCCCAGGGGAAGGTGGGCTTGTGGCACATGGCTAGTGCCCCACCAGCCCCCTGGTACAAGGTGGGTTGTACACCAGCAGCCTCCTGC